ATGGGGAGCCTTAAGATAAGCAGACCTGTCTATGTACTATAGGGGCCTAAATCATTACCAGTACTATTTTTGCGGGGTTCCTCATTATATTTATAGGGGCCTAAATCATTACCAGTACTATTTTGGGGGGTTCCTTATTATATTTCTAATATAATGGGTCCCCAAACCCTAGTCTAACCATCAAGGCCCCTACAGTAGGCAGGGTTCATGTCTCAGGGATCTACATTTGATGTCTTCTTTTTGGGAGCCACGTCACCCTCTGAGCCGTTTCCAGGAGCCTTTTCTTCTCAAGGCGGACTGGCACACACAAAGCTTCGGGCCTGCACCTTCGCTTTTTTACGGAGTCTTGTGCTTTGGGTTTCGAGATTGCAGAGACAAGGCGTCACAAGGCTCTGAGGGGGTATGGGCTGTTCCGTTTTCGGAGTTGGGACGTTCAGACGCCTGAGATCACTGCCAAGCCTCAGAACTACGCGAACTCACGCCCTGAATTTCTATTACGACTTAACTAATGATTAGATTTGGGTCAATTATACTGTAATAAGGAACCCCGAAAACCCTATTCTAACTATTAAGGACCCTACAGTAAATACCCGAATCCCATGAAAAACCCTAAACCCTAAACCCTAAACCTCACGGTCCGTTGCTTCGAATCCTTTAGCGGCGCTCCAGGCCGGGCTTCGCTCGGAAAGCAGGAACCCGAAGGCCTTTGAGGATCCGTGTATTATAGAATATACATATATAATTTTAGGGTTTAGGGTTTAGGGTTTAGGGTTTAGGGTTTAGGGATATATATATATATATACATACATACATACATACCTTGGCCTTAAAGTAACTAGTCCATATGTGATGGCCAAAGTATATACTATATGAGCACATGAACCCTTAGGGGAAGGGTCGAGAGACCCAGCTCAAAGAGGGGCTCCGAATCATGTTGCATGACAAACATGGCCTATATGGCTATCACACGACATGTGATCTGTATGAGCGGTATGCTTGATTATAGCTGGTATGTTGACGTGGTATGAGAGAACAGCATTGCAGTAACTCATGCGTACATACTATGCAGTCACCCAGCGTGTGCAAACATAGAAGATGATATGGCTTAAGACAGTTGCCATGTTTCCTCAGACTAGTGCAAATGCTGCGACTGGACATGGCAGGCGGGTTCACAGAGGTAGCTGTGGAATTCGTGCATCTGTTTAATTTATGATCGAGTTTATCAGTATGTTTAAACCCTAAACCCTAAACCCTAAACTTGCAGAAAAGGACTTCTGTCTTTCTTTCTTTTGCCTGCGCTAAGGATCGGCAGTGGGGTTTCATTCCAAGGCTGGGTCGAGGAGGCCAGGCCTCTCGCACTACATACGTTTTTGTGTTTAAACCCATGGGTTGCGTGATGGGTTTAGGGCTTAGGGGTTTGGGTTTAGGGTTTAGGGTGCTGTGTTTTTTTGGTGTTTGAAAGGCTAAGGGCTTATAAGAACAAGGGTTCAGGGATTGCTGTTAAGTTGCTGGCCTTTGAAAACAAGAGCTCTAAAATGCTAAGAGTCCATGCGGGGGTTTCCGAAAATTAGGGGTACCTTCTTTTAGGGTCCTTATAATAAGGATCCTACTTCTTAGGGTGCTATATTAGGGTCCCCTATTTTCGGAAACCCCCATGTATCTTCAGGGGATCGTTGCTGTGTTCGTGGGATTAGGAAGTGAAGGCGACAGTAAAACTGGGTTTAGGGTTTAGGGTTTAGGGTTTAGGGTGGTTCGGTCGGTATTACCTGTATTCCCTATTCATTCTCTCTTAGCTGAGCTGAATAGCTGCAGGAAGGGTTGCCCCAGCATTACGGTGTTACGGGGGGAACCACATGAATGTTAAATGTCAAGCTTTGGTGTTGGGAGTATGTAGACCGCAGATTCCATCAGCGTGCCCTAAACCCTAAACCCTAAAGCCTGCGCGATGTTTGTTTTTGCGGTTGCAGCGAGGGGGCAGGAACCCTAAACCCTAAACCCTCCTAAACACTAAACTCTTTGCCCTTGCAAATCCCTTTAAGAACCCTAAACGCTAAACTCTTATAGATCCTAGGTAAACCCTAAACCCTAAACTCTTATTGATCCTAGGCAAATCCCAAACCCTAAACCCTAAACTCTTATAGATCCTAGGTCAGCCCTAAACCCTGAACTCCGGAGCTCGCATCCCTGAGACACAGGCGGCCTCCGGCGGGCGCCACCGCGCTTTTGCGCCTTCGCTGAGGCCTGCAGAAGATCTGGGAGTTTCAGACATACAAAGACCCATATGCAAATACATACATAATTAGATGTGTACATATATATGTATACATATGCACATATCTATCTATCTACCTACCTACCTACCTACCCACCTACCTACCTACCTACCTACCTACCTACCTACCTACCTACCTACCTACCTACATACGTACATGCGTACAGTGTACATACGTACATACGTACATACGTACATACGCAC